GCTGCGAGCTCACTCCCTAACCAACCATGCCTTGAGAGGTGTGGACTCCCGAAGACTGATTTAGCTCAGCAGGGGACGGGGTGGAGGGGACTGGCCAGGGGGCCGAGGGGGATCAGGGTGGCTCAGGATAGGAAGGGAAGGGGAGCGGGCGGTGCCAAGGTGTGCGCAACCCCCAGGTACCCGCGCTGAATCAGCCCACCAGGCGGAGATGCTAACCGGGCCGCTGTGTCCGCAAGGGTAAATTCGGAAGCTTCCAGCAACCCAGGGCTTTGTGAGAGAAGGAAGAGGAAACAAAAGTGGTAGGGTGGGGGGAGCGGGGAGGCGGCTGATTTATGCCAGCACTTCAGCAAATGTTTTCGCTGCCATTAGCCTCGCAGCTTAGGAGAGAAAGGGGCGCCACGGGGTACCGGTGGTTGGGCCTCACCAGGGCTTGCCTGCCCTGCGGGGTCGTGGGGGGCAGCGGCTGGCACAGAGGACGGGGTCTCACCTGGCCCCGGCTCGCCAAAATGCACTAGGTCGGGTGGGGGAGAAACTCCCCGGGCTCCAGGCCGGGTGCGGGCCCAAGGGGGGCAGGAGGTGGCGGCCCCGGCCCCACTTCAGAAGCAAATCAAAAGGATGGAGGGCACACATTCCCTCCACCCTTCTGAAACTGCCCTTCCTCATATTATTCTAATTACGGTATTCTAAATTTTCCTTTAATAAAAGGAAAGAAACAGAAAAGCACAGAACATACTTGTTTGGTTTCATTTTGCCTTCATAGCTTTAATGATTCCGTTCGTGGAAGCTGTTTAGAAAACCGGGGAGGACGAAGAGGAGGAGGAAGAGGCCAGAGTCACCAGCTCTGGCCTCAGCGGCCAGCTTCCTCCTCTCTGCCCCTGGGTGCCAGCCTGCCTAGGCAGCAGTCTCTCTCTACTCCCCAGCCCCACGAAGCCAACCCCTAAACCCCAACCTAGGACCCCTGTCTCTCCTCCCTTTCCTCCAGGCCTCAGGGTGCTCCAAGGTGCCTCCTTGTTACTCCAACCCCAGCGATAAGGTTCAAATGACCATATGTTTGGCCAGCAGGCCCGGGAGGAGGCTCCAGGATGGGCCAATGAGAACCACCAACCAAGCGCTTGGAATGTAAGAGATCCACCTCCCCTCCAGCCTCATCCTCGAAGCCCCAGGCAGCCCAGACCCTCCTTAGAAGCCATTGCTGGTAAAAGGGAAGGGGAAGTGGTAGGCAGACCCGACGACGTGGTCTGACAGCCAGGAACAGGTCATAGTACCTCAGTCCAGGAGAAACTCAACAACAAAGTGAGTGCAGGAGATGAGCCCCCAAAGCTTCAAAATAAAAAAGTAAAAACCTATTTTGCCCCCAACTATACAAATAGGTACAGAGCTCTGAGGCTGGCTTGTGATTTATCTCACCCGGGGCAGGTGGGGGCTTTTTCTGAGAGGATCAGTGTTGGAAGGCTACCCCTGGGCACTTGCCTGGTCTCAGGGTCTCACCTTAACCTTTGGTCCAGCCCTGTTCCACCTCTCCCAGGTCCCTGCTCCCAATTTCTTTCCACCATCCCCCAGCAAGTCCCAGTCTAACTCAGCTACCAAACCTACTTCATCATTAGCTGCCTGCCTTAGCTGGGCCTTGATTTCTGAATCTCAATCCCAGACCCATGCAGCCAGTCTGCAGCCCAGGTGGAATAGAGGAGCCACAACTAGAATGAGGTTTATGAGGCCTGAGTTCAAATGTCAGCTCTATCCTTGAGTCCCAGTGCAGTCCTGGGCAAGTCAGGGCCCGTCCCAAAGCTTCAGCAGTTAAACAAGCGGATTGGAAGAGACAGGAATTGTCTGGGATCCTATGGAATTCCCAGTCTGTGGGGTGGGGAGGGAAATTACATACAAAACTCCTCCCCTGCAGTGGTACTTTCACTTTAATGAGAAAACCCAGTAAGACGCTCTTGATTTTCCATTGGTTTAAGTGAAATGGGCATTTGGTACAGAGTAGAGGAAGACAAGGACAGGCCACCACCACACACACACACACACACACACAGCAGAGACATTAGGAAAACTCTGATTTTAACTGCACCTTAAAAAGAAGTGCTATCATGACACCTTGGTTCCTTCTCAACCATCCCAGCCAGAGGCCAAGGAAAGGCTCATTAAAAGCTCCAGGAAAGGGCTTCCCTGGTGGCGCAGTGGTTGAGAGTCCGCCTGCTGATGCAGGGGACACGGGTTCGTGCCCCGGTCCGGGAAGATCCTACATGCCACAGAGCGGCTTGGCCCGTGAGCCATGGCCACTGAGCCTGCGCGTCCGGAGCCTGTGCTCCGCAACGGGAGAGGCTACAACAGTGAGAGGCCCTCGTACGGGGCGGGGAAGCTCCAGAATAAGGCTGAGGGGTGGGTGGGAGGAGATTCCCAGAGTCAGCCTGGGCTTTTGAAGTGGCCTCTCCTGGCCAGTCACTTGCTGAAATCCTCTAAGAGTCTCTGGTTTATGGTTCCAGGTTTGATTTCTCCACCATCAAACTTTATGGCTTAAAAAAAAATTCTCAGTGCTGGAAAGGGAACTCATTCCCATATTCACTGGGAATGGGGGTAGGGGAAAGGGGAGAGAGGTGCCTGCCCCTTGAGGAGAGCTTGGACACGCCCAAGAAGGAGCTTCCCCCTCCCATGGCTGGGACCAAAAGGAGGAGTCCAAATCAGCCTGAATCAGCCCGCTATTGGATAGGAGCCCTGGATACAAATCTGCAATCTGCGGTCACGTGAAGGCAAGATTTGAGGAAAGGCAACATCCTGGACTTCATTTTCCCCATCTGTGCAATGGAGCTCATGAGGAATCACTGGGAAGACCTAAAGAACATTCTGAAAAATGTTCTGTGCCTGTGGCATTAGAGTACAAGGGCTGTGTAGGAGGAAGGGGCATGTTCTCTCTCCTGAAGGCAGGTTTCTGAGGGCAAAGGGAAGGCAGCAGGCTGACCCCACCAGTTGGCCCCTCTCCAGGCTGGTGGACAGGCAACCCCTGCTGTGCTAAGTAATGAGCACAATTCCAAGGCCAGTTCTGCTCGCTAGTGAGAAATCAAAGCCCGGTATTAGCCACCCATTTCTGGCTGGGCACCAATCGTGCTCAAATCCATCAAAGCCTTGGGCCTGGCGTTTCTTCTGGGGAAGGTGGAGGCCAGAGGCTTTGTTAAGCAGGCAAGGCAGGCCACCCCCAGCCTCCCCAGCAGAGCCTACTCTGCAGCTCTGGAGAACTCTAGGCCAACCAGTCTTGTCTTTCTCCTGCCTCCCCAGCTCCCCACCCTCAGTAACCCCAGTATTTATTCCTGATATCCTTGCCCTGCCGGTCCAAACACAGCTTCCCAAGACCCAATCCTGCCCATATGCCATTTACAGAGACTTCACCCAACCCTCCAATCACCTCCCCTCAAACACCCCCAAACCAGAAACCAACACCCCAACCCAGCACCTCCCACACCCAACTGCACTCTTTAAAACAAAGTTGGTCACTCAGCAGCCTGCTTCCTCCCCCATCATTACCTTCCAACTTCAAAACACTGCTTTAAATACCAGAGTCTACCCAAATCATAATTAACGTGGATCAAATGATTGTGTCGTAACTTTACAACACAAGGCTGGCCAAAAAAAAAAAAAAAGTGGGGTATGTGTTAAAACCAAGCCCTCACTCCTGGGCCATGGGAATCATTAATTCCAGAGTGAGGAATAGCTGAGTGGGGGAGGCGGGCGTGGGACGTTCGGGGCGGGGGGCGGGGAGGAGGGCGGCGGACGTCAACATCCAAGCGGAAGGTAGAGGGGGGAGGGCTGCGTCATCTGTCCACTTTGTGCACCAGTTTTCGGAGTCAATGCAGGATGCGGCCCACGCCCACCCAACCTCGGAAGCCCGGTGCTTGGTTTCTGGGGGGAGAGAGTGAGAGAGACGGAGGGGGGGAGGGAGGGGGAGAGAGAGAGACAGAGAGAGAGAGAGAGAGAGAGAGAGAGAGAGAGAAGAGAGAAAGAGAGGAGAGAGGGAGGGGAGAGAGAGAGAGAGAGAGAGAGAGAGAGAGAGAGAGAGAGAGAGAGAGAGAGATATGGGTTGGCTCCCGTGTGTCCACCCGCTCCCCAGGAAGACGCAGCCCAGTCAGCTACGCCCGGCCCAGCTACAGACCAGCGAGACGTGTACACAGCCACGGCGGGAGAGGGGGAATAGGGACTTTATTTTAGGAGCCCAGCGACTCCGTTAAGGCATCTTGCTGGGTCTGGAGTAGGAGCGTGGAGAGCGCACCTTGTCGGCTTCCCAGACGGGGAGACTGTCAGTGACTCATTTAAAAGGAAACTCGTCAGGATCACTACGTACTCCTCCCCACAACACACAACACCAACACCCAGAAAAAAATTCTTCCAGGCCTGCAGATCCCAAGATCTCGAGGAAAGCTGTACGTGCAAGACAGCCCTATTCCCTTCGATAACAAAACCCTACAAGCTGGCCTCATCTGGCTGGCGGAGCGGACCCGCGCTTCCCGTGTTCCCCAGGTTTCTCGCTCCCTCCTTCTCATCTGCGGATTCGGGTCTGTGCCACGCTAGGAGTCTGGGCGAGCCGGGACCTGGACTAGGAAGTTGCCGGCGAACAGCAAGCGAGCGCACACCTGGCCTGTGCAGCGACCGTGGTTTTTTGGCGCCGCTGCGAGGCGCGCGCGACGCCAGGGGTCCCCCGGAGGCCGGTACTCCGGAAGGCGCACACCCCGACTTGGACACCGTTCCAGGGAAAAGAAGCGATCTCTCCCTTCCAGGCGGGAGCTGGAGAGCCTGAGCAACACTCCCGCCCCGCCCCGCCCCGCCCCGCGAGATAGCTGCGCCATCGCCCACTTTATTGGGGCAGAGAAATCTACCTTTTAACTTGGGCGCCCTTACCGCTTTCCCTGTGCGCACTGACGGAGCGATAGACCACCTCAACTTCAGAGCAAAGTGAGGCGCCAGGGTCCCCTCGCTCGCCTCGCTCCCCTCCCCCATGCCCGAACGCTCCCTACCTGCTTGGCTCAGCCTCAGGTCCCAGCAGAGCAGGAGTGTCAGCAGTAGCGCGCCCCGCGCTCCGCTCCGGGCCCACATGCTCCCGCGGCCCGGCTCGGGCGCCTCTCCCCCAGGGCTCTCTCCCTGGCCCCAGCCTCGCCGCCGCCGTCTCCGCCGCCGCCGCCTCCTCCTCGCCGTCCTCCCCGGCGCCCGGCCGCGCCAGCCCGTGCCCTCCGTGGGGGCAGAGGCAGCCACGCTTCGCTGAGGGCTGCCCGGCGCTCGGAACGCTATGGGTACCCGGCGCCCGCTCTCCGGCCAGGCTCCGGCGTGCCCCTCTCTGCGCTCCTCAGGCTCCGGGGCTCGAGCGCTCCTCAGGCTCCCGCGTCCTGGTTTCGAAGTTGCGCGACTGAGGGTGAGAGCGCTCAGCGGCGCCCGCAGCGGCCAACGCCGCGCCGTCCGAGCCCCCGTGCGCGCCTCCCTGCGCCCCGCCGCTGCCCGCGGCTCCGGCGCCCTCGCCGGCCTCCGCCGCCTGCCACAAGGCCAAGCGCTGCCGCTCGCTCGCCCAAGTGAGTCCGCGAGCAGAGCAGGACAGCGCGCGGCCGGGGCGGGGCCTGGGCGGGCAAAGGCGGAGCCGGCGGAGGGCCTTTCTAGGGGGTAACGACGGCCCCTTGGGCGCGGCTTTGGCGGAGCTGGGGGCCCTTCAGGGGGGGTCCGCGCGAAACTCTGGGCCCGGAGCGTTGGAAATCCCGGCCGCTAGATCGTAGCTGGAAGCGGAGTCTGCCCAATTTTTGTTTCCAGAAACTAAAGAAATGTATCTTGGCGCTTTCCTCTGACTTGGCTGTGTCAGCTTTCTCCTCTGATTAAACTCAGGACTCTGTCGTTTTTGGCTCCCTGGTTTGTACTACGTAGAATCTACGCCTTCTACAGGGGGGGGGGGGGGGGGGGGGGGGTCTTTACCAAAAAAGCTCCTTCAGTGAGGAAATCTCAAACACTCAAGTCCGTGGTAAGCAGGGGCTTACAGCTATGTGGACTTGGATCATCCTGTTTGGCCCTACTTGTGGGTACGACCTTGGGCAGAACTGTTTGACTAGACCCCTCTGAACCTCCTGTAGCACCCAGGGCCTAGGATGTTACTCCCCCACCCCACCCCCACCCTCCGCAAGTGACAATGGGGCATAGGGAAGCCATTTTTGGCTCGGGTGGGTATAAATTTGGGCTCTGCTCCTTACCTGCTGTGTGACCCTGAACAAGTTACTTAACCATTCTGATGCTTCCTTCATCATCATCTCCAAAATGGAGAAAAATGATAATAACAATTTTATAAGGGAATGTAGAACTGATTTTTAAATATATATATAGAAACTGTAGCATAAATGTCAGTAATCTCTCTTTCCAAGATCTCCCCTCTCAGCCAATCTGATTCCTGGTGGAAAATCCTGACCACCCAAGGGTGAGCCAAAGGGCATGTGGAGTCAGGTGGAGGTTGGGCGGTGGGCGATATCTTGAGATTGAAACCCAGTGACATTAGAAGGGGTGGATCAAGTAACACTGGCAGGGTCCTTGTATGTGCCAGGCATGGGGTTAAGCACTTTTAAACACTTTATATGCATCACTTCAGTTAATCCTCACAACTCTCTGAGGTAAGTACCATTTGTATCCCCCTTTTATGGATGAAGAAACTGAGGCACAGAGATGTAAAGTCATTTGCCCAAGATCACACAGCTTTTAGTGAATGAGTGGGTGAGTGAAAAGGGCAGGAGAGAGAGGATTGGAAAGAAACCCTCTGAGCTGGGGATCCTCGACACTTACACCTCTTCTGGGGCTGGCAGGTGAGAAATGACTGGCAGCCAGCAGGAATGCCTCCTCCCCACTGATCTGTTCACTACTGATCTGTTCACTACTTGGGATTTTTCCAGAACTGGGATCTGGAATCATTCCTCAAATACAGAGGCAGTGGCTGCTTCAGGAAGGGGTAAAGGAAGGCAGAGAGAGGTCCAGCCTCTCTCTGGTCCAGGCCCAGGAGTCAGTAGGTGGGTAGGCTGGAATAGGGTCAGTGTCCCCAGGGGCGCTTCCTAGACTGGAGGAGAAAGGACTTGGGGGCCAGAACTGCAGGCTGGAAGGGTTGCTGGAGGGGGTAGAGAAGCAACAAGGGCCTGCCCCAGCTGTTTCCCCAGAGAAGAGAGAACGGCAGGACTGCCCAGGAACCCCTCCACACACACTCCCCCCACAGGCTGGGGTCTGGAACATGTGGGGGAGTGTGCATGTGGTCAGTCCACCTCCTTAGACCTCCCTGGCCAGGCACCCAGGACCAGGAGGGTGGATATGGGTGAGTGGGACTCCCTGGGAAGAACTTAGGCCAATTGAGAAAGGTCCCCGTGGACAAAGATAAGTGGGTTATTTTTAGCTTGGCCCAGGCAAGGGCAGTGGGTGAGGGAGTCAACATCGCATCACACCCAGCCAGCCCCACCCAGCCACAGAAGTACAAGCACACATATGCACACGCAGCCCTAGACAGTTACAGGCACACCTACAAAGGTACACACAAGCAAACATACAACAAACATATACAGGTGCAAAATGACCCTCCCAGAAACATTATAGGGGCACCCAACTGCAGAGACACCCACATAGTTAAGACATAGGATTTTAAAAAGCACACATACACACCTCATCACAGACATGAACACACACACAGGCACGCACGTCCAAAAGCACAAATACACTCTTGGGCAGATGACGCTAAAGACAAACAGATACTTAGATGCTTAACTTTCACCAGGCAACACACATAGGGACACATTCGAGGCCCAGCATCTGACTGTCAACACCTGGCACAGGCACAAGGTCAAGGGCTTTATGCTGGATAACTCAGCAGGGACCTCAGTAGAACCTCGGCAGGCAGGGACTACAGGGCAGGCGCGCTCACTCTCTCTGTCTCATTCTCTCTCTTAACCAGAAGGACGGTGGGTTATTGGAGATTTTTCAAAAAAGTTCCAGTGCTCAGAACTTTGCTGTTCAGACAGTAACTGCACCAGGCAGGCCCTTCTAGTCCTAATGTCAGGTTTCATGACTTTATTTCCTAACTGGAGAGAAGGGGGACGGGGGCGGTGTGCAGGCAAAAGGAGAGTGGCCATTTCCCTGTCTTCTGCTGGCCCTCGTCCCATTTCCCCCAAGCCCCAGCGTAGAAATATGCCCATGGGAGGCCCTAGACCCTGCTTTCCCTCCAGGGCTCCCCTACCAGGGTAGGGGACTTACCACATTAGGGTCCTTCCATAACCCCCCTGCACCCGATCCCCTGCTGTTCCAGTGTTCCAGTGTCCAGAACACCCCTTCCCCAGTCACCTGCAGCTAAGCAACCACTGCGGGTGTGGCTGCTTCCCAGCCTGGGCATCTCCAAGTGCTGGCCCTCAGCTGGGGCCAGGGAAAGGACTTCAGAGGGAGTCAGACTGCCCTGAGCCCACACCTTTCCCCAGTATGGGTGAAGAATGGGCAAGGCCCTGGCCCTGGGATGACACACTGGAGTAGCTGGATTAAGACTTACCAGGGTGTTCCCAAACCCAGTGCCATCAGACTCACAGCAAAGAGGTTCTGCTGTGAGTTAAGAAAGAGAATGAGGGACTTCCCTGGTGGTCCGATGCAGGGGGTGTTGGTTCCATCCCTGGTCAGGGAACTAAGATCTCACATGCCGCGTTGCGCAGCCAAAACATAAATTAATTAAAAATAAATAAGTAAATGAATGAATGAATGAGGATGAGGCAGTGAGCTGCTTGGAGGCCAGGCCTCCCCCTTCTTGCTCACCATGATACATCCAGCACCTCAGACTGTCCCGCGCATAGTAAGCATACATAAATACTGGTTGAGTGGACACATCAGTGAGGCTGGGGAAAGAGGGGTTACTGGTGAAAGGGCCTACAGCCCTGCCAAATGAGCCCTGGAAGGAGCCTCCCACCTCCCCTCCATTTCCTAGGGGGTTTATGGGGCCTGAGGCTGGAAGTGGGGCAGCCTTTGTGCAATATAGCAGCTTTGAAATCAGTCTCAGCTAGATCTGACACTTAGCGGGGGCTGTAGTGCTTCCATGGGCTACCCTCATTTATCCCAAATCACAAGTGAGCGTCGGAGACAGAGTTCTGGAATCTGGAGCTGAGCTGATGGAAAACCAGACGTGGGGCTGCTCTTACCTGCTGGGAGAACTTGGGCTGGCTGCTGAGCCTTTCCAAGCATCAGTTCCATCAGTTATAAAATGGGAACAATAACTAGCTCGCGGGATTAAAAAGAATATACAGAATGCCCTAATCTGGCTGAGTACAAGCCACTTATTTTATAATAAGGAGCAGCTGTCAGGGTGCCCTGCGGGCGTGGCTGGAGCCTTTGGCGGGCGCTTCACCCTGCGGCCGGTACTGGTATGCTCGAATGTGCCACTAGGCGGCGCGCTGCAGCGCACATCTCTTCCGCGGCCGCTTCAGCCTGCAACCCAAAGCAGCGGGTCTGGAAGGGAGATTCGCTCCGGCTTCCACCTTGCGGCCTCCCAGGAGTGGGTCTCCACTTCAGGTTGACAGGGGAGGGGGCTCTCAGACCACTCGGTTTGCAAGATCTTGGGTGGGAAGGTTTGGGGATGAGTACATAATCCCTCCCCTGACCCATCAAGGCCAGGATGGACCCCAAACGCCTGGACCTTGCTGACAACAACCTTATGAGATGGCTACTGTTACTACCCCATTTACCAGATGAGGGAACTGAGGCAGAGAAGAGGTAGCTTGCCCAAGGTCGCATACTGCTAGTAAAGGGTACCCTGGAGATTCAAATCCAGGCAGAATGGATCTCAAGCTTGTTCTCTTTTTTTTTTTTTTAAATCGAGATAACATAAAATTTACAACTTTAACTATTTTAAAGTGTACAATGTAGTGTTTTTTAGTATCTTCACATGGTTGTGCAACCATCACTACTATCTAATTCAATAACATTTCATCACCCCCCAAAAAAACCACATACCATTAAGCAGTCACTCCCCATTCTCCCCTCCCCTCCCCCTGCCCCTGGCAACCAGGAAATCTACTTTCTGTCTCTACGGATTTGCCTATTCTGGGAATTTCATATAAATGGAATCACACACTATGTGGCCTGAGTCATCAAGATTGGGCTCTTAACCTCTCTACTAAATAATGTGACAACCCTCCACCTCCTCCCCCATTCCATACACATCTTTTCTCTTACCTCCAGGGGAGGGCCTTCTCCTGGGAATTCAAGCAGTGTAAGCAGTCATTCACCAAAGCTCTGGGGTCAGGCAGATCCGGGTTCAAATCCTGGCTCTGTCTTGGACAATTTATTCTGCTGTTGTGTTCTCAAAATTCTTTGCTGTTGTTAATTTTTAAAAAAAATTTAATTTTAGAGCTGTCTTAGATTTATGAAAAAATTACATAGTACAGAAAGTTCCCATATGTCCCTCACCCCTGTTTCCCTTATTATTAATAACTTACATTAGTATGGTGGATTTGCTACAATTAATGGACCAATATTGAAATATTATTATGAACTAAAATTCATTTAGATTTCCTTAGTTTTTACCTAATGTCCTTTTTCTGTTCCAGGATCCCACATTACACATAGTAGTCAGGACACTAAGGGCTTCTCTTGGCTGTGACAGTTTCTTAGACTTTCTTTGTTTTTGATGATCTCGACAGTTTTGAGTATTATTCATCAGGTATTTTGTAGAATACCCCTCAGTTGGGATTTGTCTATCTTAAAGTTCTTAATAATTTTTGAACAAGGAGCCCTGTTCAAAATAATTTCGCACCGGGTCCCATAAATTATGCAGTAGGTTCTGCTTGTGGGTTACGGGGCACAGAAAAGGCAGGTG